TGGTCGTGTTCTGGTGCAAGTCTGCAATAGAAACGTGTTGCTTTTTTTGTAACTGAGGCTGGGATAGTTGACAACATAAATGCCAATTCTTGGCTACTGAATCCTGACATGATATCCCCCTCCTCCTCCTTCTTCTTCTTCACAATTATTAATTTCTTCAATCTCAGGCCAGTTTTTACTGCATCCTCCCTGCTGATTTAAAATGACAATGCCAAGATAAAAGTAGAGATGTGAAAAGGAGGGAATTCACTGCAAATAGAGTATCTTTAAAAGTAGAAATGATATGTACTGATAGTGTGATCCAACATAAATATTGGAGACGTATTGCTACACTGTGTCAGTATGGAGAGTTTACGAGTTAGCCGAAGTTACTTATGTGAAAATCTACCATATACGTTTCCAGCCACCTGTTTACACCACTCTCTAAACTCTATTTTGATGTAAACCAACACTTTAGGAGCGTAAAACTCCATTATGTTATGGTTGATAGCTGGTGACCATGTTTGCCTTGCATTTGGTGCTGGACAGAGCATACAGTCAGTTTATGAAGTTTGCTGAATATAGCTTCTGCTTATAGAAATAATGCTAATGAGATGGCAGTGAGAGGGGTTCAAAGCAGTGAATTAGCTGCCTATATACCCAAAAAATGAGCTGAAAAACCGATGTGGAGCTGAGATAAATTATATGAGATAATTATCAATTGTCTTATCAGAGCTATCACTTTTGACAGTTATATTTAAATGATCAATGTTTGCTTCAGTAATTTTTGCATTTACAGAAACAAGTTCAGTCAGCACATCAAATGTATCTTTTTAGATTTTCTCAGTCTGCTTTTGTCTTCATTTATTTATAGGAATTTATTTATTTATTTTAATACTGCCTCTGTGAACTCGAGTTTGACATTCTCCTCCATCCAAAGTCGTTTTATCAAATAATGAGCAGAACTGTTACATTCGTTGAGCAGAGGTTCACAATTTGAATGTAGACTGATTAGCTGAGGGTGGCAATTTTACAAGCAGCACACCGGCCACTAAATTAAAATATGCCCTGACCAACTGGAAATCCCTTAATTTTAAATAAGTACAACTGAGAGTATATGAAACTGCTCCGATAGTGCCAACACACATAAAGAAACCTGCAGACCTTGTGCCTGCAAGAATGATAATAAGAAAGCAGACCAGTTTGCTTCGAGTTTTATTCAATAAACTATGTTGTGTTTCATACATTATCAACCTGTTTGAAGATGTTTTGTGTGTTGTAAGACCCCAATGTGGTGTGATGTATCAATACCCCGTAAAATCCCAGCATGAGCCTGCTGTGAAAGCTCTGAATGTGAAACACCTCGTGCAAACAAAGTATCTCTGCCTCTGATCCAAAAGGACCTTGCACACTGTCTCCCCTCGGTCCCATGCGGTCAAGGAGGCTTTGAAAGTGGCTCGGAGGGACAGGCTGAATTAAGAGAAACACAAGAAGGAGGAAGCCCCATTCTCTCACTCCATCACACGTCTCTTCTCTTTAGTCGTCTGGCCGGGGCCTAAAGTGACTTTGCCTTGATGTGACCAGGACAAACCGGGTGTGATGCCGTGACGGCTCTGCTAAGCGTGTCAATGTGTGTGTTTTTTTGTTCTTGCATGTGCTTGTGTATTTAGGGGCAGGGTATATGTGTGTGTGTGTGTTTTATGGGGGGGATCGGGGGTCTTGATTTTGTGTGAGGGAAAGGAAGGGGGGTTAAGGAGGACAGTCACTTTTGATTTGGCTTCAGAAGGGCGACAGGGACTTGGAGCTCCGGTCGCATGCTTTACTGAAACAATCGTCTCTGACCACAAAATATGCGCTCTCAGACTGTCAACCTGCCTGCTGATGACTTCTCCCTTGTTTTTTTTTCATGGTGAAATTTCATAGAGGGATGGAAAGCTTTTTTTCTGCTCTGTGACATCCTGAAAGCAAGCTTTAGTTTCTGTAGCCTTGGTGAGGCAGCTAATGCTTTGGATGAGACAAAAATGTCTCTGCCTCTCTCTCTTTACCTGTTTGTTCGACAAGTTCATTTTATCTTACCTTCCTCTATCGTTTCAAGTGGGGGAATAAACAAGGCTGTACTCACATCGTACAAGTATCAAGTTTTGGCCTTATTGATGGTCAAGGCTTGAGGGGTAAGATGGAGTAGGTCTCAGAGAAAATAAATAATGAACACTGGAGTGGCTTTTCTGGGTGTTTACCTATTGTAATAGAAGCGTTGGGATTGGTTCATCTGGAAAAGGGCTCTTTGACTGGAGGGAATTGGAAATGCTGAAATTAAACGAGCCAATTTGGCGAGCGAAGAGTTTAGAGGTCAAAGCGCACTCCATTAAAGTGCCACCTCTCTGCCTAACTACTAACTCAGTATGTCTCTGAGTCTGTTGAAGCAATACAAGACCTCTCCCTCTCTTCCTCCTAGTCCTTTGCTGCTGTGCTACCCTTCACTGATCATTGTTTTTGTTGCATTTGAGGCACCATTTAACATGGTTTTGGTTGCAATCAGAGACCCACATTCACATCACATTCATAGTCGCACATTTGCTGAGAACGTAATACTCCTTGTCCCACATACTTGGTTGCTAGATTTTCTTAAACCTGCCAAAATCCTGAATGTTTTACTGTATAAAAGGATTTTCAAATATATATTTTCTTAGTTTCCTCGAGTGTTATCTTGTTATGCAGATCTTTGTGGTTTGATTTATGATTTTGAGACCCAATACAATAGAGCTGGATCTACTTTCTCCCCCCAAAATACTGACAGTGTGGATTATCTTGAGTAATTGGGGCACTGTTTTTCAATTAAGTGAGCAGCACACTTTTAATTGCAATCCACTCCATTATATTGGAGGGAAGGCAAACATCTCTGAGACAGATATCCTTTAGCTAAGTAGGTAGAAAAGGTATTGAGGTATTTCTCTCAGTGAATAAATGACTTTTTGACATCCCATGACTGGAAGTCGTGTTTGTGATTCTCAGTCAGAGCCAATCTTATATACCGGGACTATTCAATTTAATGTGCCAGTGGCCCTGAGAGAAGAAGAGCAAAGAGAGGAGGAGGAGAGCCGCTGTGTCTTTAAAACCCTCGGTTTCTCTGCAAAGGTGAGAGGTGAAGACTCTCAATACCTCCATGAGGGCAATACAGAAAGAAAACGATAACTCAAGCTTAGACTGCCAATAGATGTGAGCTGAAGGAGAAAACTTTTGCTTCAAAACTTGCCTTTCAAAGGGACACTGTTATTCTTCATTCTCGGACAAGTTTTTTTCTCCATACTATTTTTTATTTCCTTGACTTCAATAAATGCCAGTCAAAGTGAAAAGTTGTGAGAGAGCCGTGCATTAATACAAGACAGTTTTGGGATGTTGTTATATTTTTTTTTTTGGAGAAAGAGAGGCTTCAGCAGTTGTCACCGTCACTCCATCCATCACTACAGCCCGTCCACTGCTGTTCATGGGAGGTGTGTTTGTCCCAGTGGACGTGGAAGACACTGTGGATTTATCTGATCTTACAAGCCATCAGGTTGAGCAGAGCTTTGCTAAACATGACCTGAAGTGTGCCGGCCCCCGAGCAAACGCTGCTGTCACCTTGGCCAACCCGAGCTGTCATCTCTCAGAATGGCCCATGAGAGCTGACAGCTGTGGCGTTCCCAAAACAAATCACTGCTGCGTTTGGTAACACTCTGCGTCCCCACGATTTAGCCCTCACCAAGACGAGAGCGGGAGCGGCGGCTGCTAATGCTCTGGCTAATGCACTGCCTGACTGTGTGTTTGTGTGTTCTTCTTCCCCCTCTGTGAGTGTTGGTGTTTGCAAGGACTTATGAGGTTGATCTTTGTTTTTCTGCCACTTAGTTGAATGGTTCAACACAGAGCAATATTAAGGTCGGCTTTTTTTTCCTTCTGCTATCCTTTCTATGTGGCCTTTACCTGCATTCCTTCTATTGAGTTAGCTCAATATTACATTAGAAGTCATCTAACCTGAAGACAGCAGAACATATCAGGAAATATGAATCCAACCATATGTTAGAGATCAAGTGGGACCAAAAGCTAGTAAAATCTTTTTCGGGTTAACATTCTAATCTTGAGCTTTTATTGTAAGCTGCAAAAGAATCCTGTCAATCCTGTCAATGAATACTGAAAAGTTGTATCTTCATTCACTGACAGTTGAGCAGATCCACAAATTGTCATTAAGGATCTTTATCTGTGTAGTTTTCAGTAAAAAAAACGTTGTGTTCACAACCCAGACTGAACTGTGAAAGATCAGAAAAACCGAGGTGAAGGTTCAACAGAGACTTTCCGTCTCAACTAGACAGATGATTAAATATTCACAGTTGAGAGAAGGATGAAGAACAAAATAACAAGGAACTGAGGCTGTTTATTGATAAATGTAATGGTAAAGTGGTTTGTACTAAATGAGGTGTTTTTCTCCCTCTCAACTGTTTTGTGAAAGTGTCACGCTTTTTAACTGACAATTTTAATGAGCTAACCCACACACACACACACACACGCGCGCACACGCACACACTCACACACCAATGGACCTGTCAGACACGGTTTAAACACAGAGATTTTTGACTATTTGTTACTGGGCTGTTTTTAGACATCAAACTACAGCATTTGAGATGTGGTCTCTATTGATGTCATTGTTTTTTATGTCACAGTCATTACTGAGATATCCTTACCCTGGCGCGTCTTGAAAGGAGAGGTTCAGCTAAATTTACTTATTTTTTTCCCCCTTACGTGAAAATGAATCTGACATTCCAAGCAAGGGGTTTTAATATAGCTAGAGCCATCATCCATGTATATGGACTTAACAGAGAAATACCTGAATATGTTGCCAGAAAAGTGGCTTTGATGTCATTTTCCCTGTACTATATCTCTCTGCTTCTGTACACTCAAATGTCCATACTGTACAATTGATGGCACACTATATTATGTTTTGATATTACAGCTGAAGTAAACCTATTGCCTGTCTTTGTTTTGTTTCCCAGCAGACGTTTTGAGGAGAGGCTTTTGTTCAGCTACACAGATGAACAACAGAAAGGAGGACATGGAGATCTCCTCTCACTACCGTCAGCTCCTCAGAGAGCTCAATGAGCAGAGGCAGCATGGCATCCTCTGCGACGCCTGTGTCATTGTGGAGGGAAAGATCTTCAAGGCTCATAAGAATGTCCTTCTGGCCTCCTCACGCTACTTCAAGACTCTTTACTGCCAGGTAAGGGACTGCCACACCTGGGAAGACGGGTCGAGGGAGTGTGTTAGGTCCTTGTTTTTCTCTCCGATCATGCTGTGTGTTATAAAGCAATAACAGAAGGTGCATTTACTGTATGAAAATAAACAAGACTGTTAATAATAATCTTTCTCACCCTTCAGGTTAAAAAAGGGGCAGACCCTCACCTCCAGACTACTGTCACTCACCTGGACATTGTCACTGCGACAGGCTTCAAAGCCATACTGGACTTCATGTACTCTGCGCACCTCGCCCTCACCAGTAAGAACGTGATCGAGGTCATGTCAGCCGCCAGCTACCTTCAGATGACGGACATCGTCCAGGCCTGTCACACCTTCATCAAGGCGGCGCTGGACATCAGCATCCGCTCTGAGATGGCCGATGAACTGACCGACTTTGAGATGGGAGCTGTGGCTGCTGCCGGCATAGGTGGAGGAGGAGGAGGAAGAGGAGGAGGAGTGGGTTTAGCAGGAGCAGGGGGTGGTGCAGGAGCAGGTTTAGGAGGAGGAGGAGGAGGTGGAGGAATCGTGGGCATGGCTTCTGAAGCCCTGGCCTCCATCATGTCTGGTCGCAGCACCTCCCCTTGGCTCGTGCGCCGCACCAGTCCGGCCAACTCTTCTGGGGACTCAGCCATCGCCAGCTGCCACGAGGGAGGAAGCACGTATGGCAAGGAGGACCAAGAACCCCCTAAGAGCCATGAGAGCCAGGAGGAAGCCTGCCACGACTCCCAGCCCGCCTGGCCACACGACTACAGGCCTGTCACCGTCAAAGAGGAACAGGTGTCCCCCGCCTCCTCCTCACATCCCCGGGACACTCCTAGAGGGGCCGCTCAGAGCCAGGGGGAGGCTGGGGCTGGAGGGGCTGCTGGAGGAGCTGGAGAGGGGTCCTGGCAACCCCTCTCAGGGTCAGGGCGCAGGAAGAACAGGAAGAACAAGGACACTGTCAGGCACATTACCCAGCAGGCTGAGAGGAACTGGGACAGAGAGCGGGACAGGGAGAGGGAACGGGACAGTAGGCCTGGGTCTCCCCTGCCCTCCATGCTGGCTGTGGCCGGATGGAACTACAACGGACAGGAAATCCCAGGTAAGGCTGACCAACCTGCTCCATACACTGTTTACTGTCTCCCTTCTTTGAAAGGTTTTACTGATATACACAAAACGCACTCACACGATATGTGAGAGTAAACCATGCTTTTTCAGATCCAAATAATGTTTTTATAATGGATTTTTTAGTTTGGTTATTAGTTTACTGTCACCAAAGCAGGTGGAATTGACTGTTACTGGCTCTTGAAAATTGAAGGATGGATGCAGGCCAAAAGAAAGCAGACCTGCACTTATGTCTTGGAAAACACTTTGTGGCTCTCAGTTGATGACTTTGAGGTTTAAGAGTCTCCGAGAGTTGATGCAGTTTCCTTGTTTGCCTCTACTCGTTATCTTATTAAATAATGAGTTAATGACTGGTGAGATAATACGATTGGGCGAGATAATTAAGTGAGTGTGTTGTTTCAAAACGTAACTATAGTGAAATCGTATGTGTGCTTCTCTTTCTAACACTTTCTAAACAGATGGGCAGCAGGTGCAATCAAACTTCTCTCTCGACTTTTGTTATAACAAAGTTAATCAGTGCACAAGACACTTTACAGGACATGAACAAGCCTTTGAATCCTGAGAGGATATTGTAATGCTTGTTAACAATCCTTACAGTTTACTGGTATAAAATGACCTCTTTTCCCCAGTGAGTTGAGATTAGCCAGGTTTTACACCTAATGTGTCAGTCCTAAGATGCTTATCTTAAATCTTGGAGGTGTGAGGTAAAGCCTTGGTCAAAGCAGACGGTAAATACAAAACTCCTCTTACTGCCGTGTATGTAATACACACTCCCACATAAACAGGACAATGCATTCACAAACACACACACACATTTATTTTTGAGAAAGTGTCTCTTGTTCCTCAGCCTTGCAGAATTGTTTAGTGAACTCCTTTACACCACCAACTAATGCTGAAAAACATTTGACTATGTGTGTGATTGTGGTCGCGTGTCTATGAAAGTGTGTGTGTGTGTGTGCACATTGTGCGGGGCCCAAGGCGTCGATAGGTAGATCATTAAAAGTAAGAGAAGCTAATCCTGGGCGCATTAAGGGAGTTGGCTGTGAAATGGGCACACGAGCCAGCGAAAGAAAACAGGATAATTGAATTGACCTGGGTCACTGCACGGATTACCAGCTCCTCCTCGCCATCCGAGGCTCCTCCCCCTCTCCCTGGGGTTTAGAGAAGGACCTTCTGGAAAGGGCAAAAGGAGGGAAAAGGAAACGAGAATGGTGGATAAGAGGGTTGAGGAGAGGGACAAGAAAAACAGAGCCAAAAAAAGACACACAGGGGGAAATCTTAGCTTAACTGTAAGTGTCCTAAGCCCATATTTTGTAACCTTCAGTCACACATTATTACGAGGCGAGTACACCTTTATCTCATCCTCAGACACACACACACACACACACACACACACACACACACACACACACACACACACACACACACACACACACACACACACGTACATGGCACTATATAAGACTTTTGGACAGTTTCTTGGTGTGGTAAAAGAAAGAGTTTTATTCTGGCTGTGGTGACGAGGCAGCCATTACCAGAAAAGTGTTTTATCACCTAAAGGTTAGAGGAAGTCTAGTGTTGCTACTGGTGTAGCGTCACCTGGTGTTAGACAAAAGACAACCATTTATCTGCCTTTCAACTAGGTTTCAAGACCATACTCACAATAAAAAAAGAGCAGGGGGTGACAAATCAAGAGTCTTTGTACCTTGAGGTTATTAACTATTTGGGTCTGCCATTTAGCAGTAAAATATCATGTTACCAGTGGGCTTACCTGAAGTTTAAGAATGGCAGTGTATGACAGTCAGGATAGGTTTCATATTGTGTGTCGAGTCAGTTTGCAGGAGGTGGTTTCTGTGTGTTTAGCGAAGGTCTGGGGTATTGCTGAACAGGTTTAGTGAGGCCATTGTTGGATCGGGGGTGTTGTGATGGTTTGGTTGTGGGAGTGCTCTTCTACTCCTGTCAATGTGATGCACATATATTCTTACAATATAAATCCTTCCAAGTGAGGACGTTTGTGGGTTATTTAAGTCAGGGTAAAAAATACCCTGGATCCCTGTGGATTTATGAGAGTTTGTCTACTTAAGTCTTAAGTCCCTTTAAGTCCGGATTTTGTCACCTGCATTAGAAGATCCGAAACAGATGTACAGGCATATGGAAACGCCAAGGAATTAGAAAGTAATGTACGATTCTATTTAAAGTTTTTAATTACAACAATGACAGCATTAAAGCGGGGTCAAGGTATACGCTAAAGATTTATCACATAAGACATAGAAACAACTTTCTATCCAATAAGAAAAACCCTTGCTTACAAATTAAATAATATTAACTTAAAAATAAATAGGTGTGTGTGATAGGTGGATTATTCCTCTAAATGGCAGGCGTACAGCGCGTAGTTTTGATGAAGCATACAATATAAGCATACAGGTGTCAATTATGGTTGTAACGTTTTAGAGTATTTTATGAATCGTAAGGTGTCCTTGGGCGCAGTGAAACGCACCTCCAAATAGAATTGTATTAATGTTATTATTATTAATGATATAAAATAATATCAATGTAGAGCACATCAATCTTGATAAATTACTTTTATTGACCATTCCAATTGTCATTACATTTTCTGTCGAACAAGTAATAGACTATTTCAACTTGTCACAGCAGGAAAAAGCAAAGATGTGATTAATCACAACAACGATGGCTCCGTTCAATTAGTTGTCCCAGTAAACCTTGACAGTAATACAGTAGGCACAATATCAGCACCCTGAATGTGATACCCATGAATAGAATGCTACCATTATAAAATCATTAAATACAGCTATGCATTTCCTGCTATGACATTTCTAGATGTCTGTTGTGAGAAGCGCTGTTATTGATTAATGAATTGATTCTTTTTAGCAATACGAGTCCTTTTTTGTTAAGCTGTATTTCAACAGTTTAGGGTTATTCGTTCTAATAAGATTAGGGTCGGTTTTTGGAAAATACATTTGGTTTCCATGAAGTGATATGGAAGGTTTAAAGGAGAAAGGGCACCTTTAGTCTGGAATTAGCTTAATTGCTTCATTATTTATTGATGAGAAGTGCTTGGACACACACTCTATCTCTCTCTCATTCGTCTGTGATCGGCATACATGCTTTGCTATTAGTAACGCTTATACTACATACAACACAAGGCCTGCTTGACTGAGGATTTCTCTGGATTACACTTTAATATAGGGACAATATACAGTATAGCTATGTGAAGGCTCAGTGTATTTGTGCGGAGCCGTTTCAAAGCGTATGTATGAAAATGCTGTGTGCCAGTGTTGACATAAACAGCTGCAGGAATTAGGATTTGTTTTCTTTAGATCCCCTTCCCTTGCAAACATCTGCTGTGTTCACTTGATGTCATTATTGAGGCCACTAAGCACTCAACTTCCCTTTTCTCTCTCGCTCGCGCTAATGTTGATCTCCCCCTTTCTAATGCTCACCTTTTCTGCTGCCACAAATATTTGAAATCTTACATGAAAATCAGCTTCACTTGCATTTCAGTGATCTGATCATGTGTGCATATTTTTCTACGCAATAATATATTAAATGTGACAATTTTTGATGAGGGGAGTTTTAAATAGTCTCTACTTCGCATGCCTGCTTATGTGGTAAACCTATAATTACCTGGAATTATTTTTAGTTTGCCCCCCGCTGCTGCTTACAGACCTGGATTAAAAAGCATCTGCAAATCAAAGACTGAGTGTTTTAAAAATCAAGCATAAAGCTTTTGCAGAAACGATTTAGTATTTATACTTATTTTATGCCTCATGTGAGCCTCTTTTCTAGTAATTCAATCTAGTGCTGAAACCCTGACTTAAATAATCAATTAGCTTATAAACATAAAATAACACTATTTTGATAATCAATTAATCATGTATCAAGCAAAAATGTCAAACAACAGTTTCAGAGGCATACATTGAGGATGAGCAGCTTTTTTCTGTTTGTTTGATTGTAAATGGAATATTCTTTGCTTTAGTGGTGTTGACTTGTCATTAACAAAACAGTCAATTGAAAGAAATCATCCCAAATTGAACATCCTATCTGCTGTATATTCTGAATTAATCACACAAACTACAGCTATACTACACTTTATCATTTTAAAGTGTTTTATATACACTGAACAAAAATATAAATGCAACACTTTTGTTTTTGCTCCCATTTTTCATGAGATGAACTCAAAGATCTAAAACATTTTCTATATACACAAAATAACCATTTCTCTCAAATATTGTTCACAAATCTGAAAAAATCTGTGATAGTGAGCACTTCTCCTTTGCCGAGATAATCCATCCCACCTCACAGGTGTGGCATATCAAGATGCTGATTAGACAGCATGATTATTGCACAGGTGTGCCTTAGGCTGGCCACAAGAAAAGGCCACTCTGAAACGTGCAGTTTTGCTTTATTGGGGGGGGTCTGGGGGGGTCCGAAAACCCTAGGGTTAAACCCTAACCCTAACCCTAACATGTCACCCATTGAGCATGTTTGGGATGCTCTGGATCGTCGTATACGACACCGTGTTCCAGTTCCTGCCAATATCCAGCAACTTCGCACAGCCATTGAAGAGGAGTGGACCAACATTCCACAGGCCACAATCAACAACCTGATCAACTCTATGCGAAGGAGATGTGTTGCACTGCGTGAGGCAAATGGTGGTCACACCAGACAGGCAAGCAGGAGAGAGAACAGCACAGACAGACAGATAGACAGAGAAAGACAGGACGAAGGACAGGAGGGAAAGACAGGAAGGCAGACAGACAGGACGCAGAGAGACAGACCACAGAAGATAGAGAGAGAGACAGGAGAGACAGATGGACAGACTAGATAGACAGGACACAGACAGAGAGACTAGACGAGAGAGACAGATAGACAACAGATAGCAGACAGACAGACAGACAGACGAACGAAGACAGACAGACAGACAGACGAGACAGACGAGACAGACAGACAGTACAG